AAAATAAAATAATAACTTGAACAAATGTTCAAACTAACTAATCGAACCAAACTAACCCAAATCGTTTTGATTTGGTTTGGTTCGATTTCAAAAGGTGAATCGGGTCGGTTTGGGTTGAAATTTTACCCAAATCAATCAAGTCGTTTCCAATTTTAGGTTAAGTTCAAAATCAATCCAACTTAAACCATTCCCAAGCCTACTTCTTGGTTAGGGTGAAGAAAATTGGAAGAATGGTAGAAAAGTGCAAACCAACACAGAATTGTGAAAATTTGGAGTTGACAGATGTCGATAGAGGGATAACCAAAGCCATATAAACACCTAGAGTAGGCAATTGGATGGGTGAAACCATAGACAAGGCGTAGGGAGTAGAGCTGGGCATAGGTTGAGTTGGGTTGGATTTGATTGGATTGGTTTGAGCTGGGCTGGTTTGGATTGAGTTGGGTTGGATTGGGTTGGGTTGGGCTTGTTAGGACCCAGCCCAACCCAACACAACACAACACAACACAACAAATTTAGTATGATGAGTAGTTAAATCAAATCATCTCGTCCACGGGTTAAAATCCGACTCAAGTTAAATTGACCAAGCTTGAGTTGAATTGGGTTGGATTTATCTGTTTGGAGTTGGACCTAATTCACGTTGGATCCAATTATTTCTTTGTTGGGACAATATTTTTGGGACCTTTTTGGATGAATTTGCCAAATTATTTACCCATTTAGAAAAGAGAGGCACACGTAAGCGTGAGAGATCTCAATCTGACTTTCATGGTTTTCGTTTCAAGGTAAATTAATTAATTTTTAAATTTTTTAAATTAATCGTGCCAAGATTGTATCACGTTAGGTTTTATTTGGTAATCTGCGACCGATCCTATTGGACCTCGAATTTGATTTTCCAACCTAATTCCAACCCAATTAAACGTGAAAATTGACTCATATCAATCAATCTGGATCGGGAAAGTCAGTTTGATCAATTTTTACCTAGCCCTAATGGGAGAGTAGGAGTGGAGGGTAAATGGGGACATAGATTCACTTTATTTTCATTTTCTTTCCCTTTCCTTTGTTATCTATACTTTTAATAAAATCATTTGTTTTTACATATTTTACCTATAAAACTGGGTTCCATGTGCATTATACGTTCCTTCTAACAAAAAAAAAAAAAAAAACAAAATAAAAAAGAAAAAAAAAAAAAAAAAAAAAAAAAAAAAAAAAAAAAAAAAAAAAAAATCCAAGCGGACGCCTGGTTCGCTTGACGGTCTTTTTTTTAACCGTTCTGATTTCTGACGCACAATGGCTAGTTTGGTTGTCCAGTTCAGAATGCGGGCGTTCGGATGGGTTGTCCGATTAGTCATAAATTTCGGTGTTTTGACTGCTATAAATAGTACTTCACTTTGCATTCATTACAACAACTAAAAGAGAGATTTCTTGTGAAATACATTTCTAAAAATCTTCATTGTGGTTACATTTTTACATTCATTTCATTTATTTTTTCATAACAAAAACTTTGATTGTTGATAAAACATTTTGAATCATTTCTCTCATCAAAGTTTTCCATTTCTTTTTGTGCTTAACTTTTTATTTCATCTTAAACGAGAAATATATTTTTGAAAAAAAATCTTTACACTAACATTGTATAAACATTTCTACTTTTTCATGTGAAAACTTTGATTGATTTAATCAAAATTGTAAAATCATCGTGTTCATCAAAATTTCTCATTTCTCTCTTAATACTTAATTTATTACAATCATTTATTAAAAGAGAGAAATAGTTTGAGAAGATTTTTGAACTTAAATTGCATTTGACTCTTCTTCATCTTCTAATTAAAAAACTTTGATTGGTTGAATATAATATTTAGATATTATATTTATCAAAAATTTTCATTTAACACTTGAACTATCATTTGTTGATATTCATTGAAGTGTTAGCATCTCTTACTACTTAACTTGTTTGTATAATTTATCAAGAGATGAATTTTATTGTAAAATCAATTTGATAAAATATAGGTCGTGTTGAAATCCCGTAAAGATCAAAATTGTATAAGGATCGGTATTTTTTGTTGTAAGTCATCGTGTGAGTCATATCGAGATTCCGTAAGGCTCAATAGTGTGAGTCATTTGAGGTCTCGTTAAAACTCAATAGTGGATTGTGTTGAGGTCCTGTAAAGCTCAACATTATATAATGATTGATGCTCTTTATTTGCAAGTCACCGGAAGTGTTGTAAAGAGTTGGATTGCACCATTCGTGTCCGAGAGCTTGATAACTAAGGACGTAGTCATTATTTTGGATCGAACCTTCACAATTATATTGGTTGCATCCTCTATCCCTTTTACTTGTCGCTTTCATATTTGCGCTTATTATTTGAATTGATTTATTTAGTATTTACTTGCTTGAATTTAGATTAATTTTTCGAAATTTTTTTAAAAATCAATTCACCCCCTCTTAATTAGTTATCATTGGGCTAACCGCCCCAAGAGTTGTTTAATTTTTGCCCATTATCAACCAATTTAAAATGAGTATATGATGGCTCCAAACTAGTGTTTTAAAATGTGTCAAAATGCGCCGTCTAGACATGCTTAGGCGCAATGCTCGGTGAAAACGCGTCGAATTCGTGATTTGAGAGTAAAAATACGGTCAAATTTTTTTGTTGACCGCCTAGGCACGATAAAACGCGCCTCATGCGCTTGTTTGAAATCTCTTTTTTTGGGTGAATGTACATGTTTATTTTTATATAAAAAATTGTTTTTTAATATAAAAATTTATTTATTATACTTAAAATAATATTAAAAGTACGAAACGCATTACGACGTCTATTCTTCGCATTGACACGCTTAAACTTGTGATTCTTGATTCTCGACGTCGATGCATCGCAATGCATTACGCNATTCTCGACATCGATGCATCGCAATACATTACGCCTTTTAGAACACCGCTCCAAACATGTAATTAATTTAAGAATAGACAACAAATAAATATTTATTTATTAATAATATAGAATTAATTAGAGTTAAGATAAGGTTAACTTTTATATGTTTATTTTTAAAGTGTTAATTAGATCCAGAAATTCTAATACAGGAATTTTATAACTTATCCATCTGTGCTGCTTATTATTACTTATAAAAAATTTCATTCTTTGTGTTAAGATAGAGTTTGTAGAGTTAACTCAGTTATGGAATTCACATAATTATCTTGAATATCATGCTATTTTTCAATTATTTTAAATAAAGAGATCCATTTAGAATTATCTCAATATTGTCGGTTGGTATTCATAAAAAAATAAAATTGAATTATATTGAAAAAATATGACCAATGCCTATTCAAAAAATTGACCCCAACGAGTTTCACATACTCTTGAACAGAGTGTTAGATACATGTGGTCGTATCTTCGAAGGTGGAAAAGGCGCTCGCAAATACTTCGTCGCTGAAGCCAGTGGACAATGAAATATGTTTTTGAGTATGGAAGAGACAATGGACGTAAGCAATGGAATTCAGTTTGAAAAGAGAATAACAAGTAATATATTATAGATACATGAAATTGCATTACCTTTAAAAGATAGTGTAGTCTTTTATATTAGAAAGGAAAAAGTGATATTTATTGGATGCTTGATAAGCAGTCTCATTTCAATAGTTCACGAGTTAGACTCGACAGTATCAATCTCAGCTATCATAAACCTTTGGTCATCTTAAATGGCCTAAAAAGTAGTCGTCCTACATCATAGGCATATCATAGAAAAGTGAATTATAGAGTTAACTAAGTACCTGTTTGGTGGCAATTTTAATTCAAATTTTAAGCAATTAGTGGACCGTTAGCAGCCTTCATCGTTGACTTCCTTCACACAATTTAGGCAGCCGTGAGATCCACTAACGGTCAGAATTCTACTTTTAATTTCATCCAGACAAGCCCTAAAAGTGTATGTTGCGGAACGATCAAATCTATTATTCGTACTAAAAATCTCTTGGTTGAAACATGTTGAAATTGCCTTGTGGTGCAAAAGTTTATGGAGCAAGATTTTGCAAACAACTGAATGGCTCCCGTGCATTGGTCTATTGTCAATTCATGTTTGGCTAACCCTTTTTTTTTTTTTTGCAGCACATTTTTTTTTAGGAAAAAATAATAATTAGTCAAATCTTTTAAAATTGTGTTTCTATTTACACACATATTAGACTGAGTAAGGTTACAATTTAACTGGCTGCTGACTCACAAATTCTTTTCGTTTTGGTAAAGTTATAGATGGAATGATTAATTGGAACAAAATCAAATTATGGACCAATTTGAAACGAACATGTAAGTCGGGTAACCCCAATGAAATTTTACCGTCCTTGGTTCCGCTTTCCATTTTGTCACTGTTCTTCCACTTCTCAAAGTTTGGGCGGTGGCCTCTACTCTCCCTCTCTACATCATCGCAAATGAAGGTTATACAAATTTGAGGCCCTCATTCTGCCAGATGGGATTACAGTGTTACTAAATTCTTATTCGTCGTTTTCATGAATCCATTAATATGCACTGAATGATGTATGGTCGGTTGTCTTATATTGATTGATGTTTGTCACTATGCTCCCACTGACTTCACAATTGTGTGTATATATACACTTGCATGGAACCCATCACAAAGCAGTGAAATCATCGCTAACAAAGAAAAGGGGGGCAAAGGTTTTCCTGTTTTAGTGTGAGAAAGGGAAGAAATGGAGAGCAAAGAGGAAGATGTACGAGTGGGAGCCAACAAATTCAACGAGAGGCAGCCGATTGGCACAGCGGCGCAAAGCCAAGACAAGGACTACAAGGAGCCACCACCGGCGCCGCTTTTCGAGCCCGGTGAGCTGTCCTCATGGTCGTTTTACAGAGCTGGCATAGCCGAGTTCATAGCCACTTTCCTGTTCCTGTATATTACAGTTTTGACAGTGATGGGAGTTAGCAAGTCTGATTCTAAGTGCTCTACTGTTGGAATCCAAGGAATTGCTTGGGCATTCGGTGGCATGATCTTTGCCCTTGTTTACTGCACCGCTGGAATTTCAGGCAAGTTCTTTACCTATAAATGATTCACATATTTGGCTTCTATATACTATGATCTTTTATCGTAACATCTCGTACGAGTAATCAGTCCGTCTAAAGCTCAAAGAGTGAGTTAGATTTCAAGATTGGCGTTCTCATTCGGGTTGCTCCTCTTGACGAGGTTGACGTTTTATCATGGAATCGTCTCTGTCTCTTTAGTTTAGTCTTTGATAGTATAAAAATTAGCTTTAGGAATCAAAATAAGAAATTACCCAATTCAAAATTGAGTTGATTTTTCATTAATTTCTATAGCATTACTAACTTATTTTCCTCAAAGAAAATGGCATAATTTCTACTGGAAAAGAAAGCAAGTTGTAAGACCACTAAATGATTAACGAACTTTTTGCTGTGCAGGGGGGCATATAAATCCGGCAGTGACTTTTGGGCTATTTTTGGCAAGGAAATTGTCATTGACTCGGGCAATATTCTACATGGTGATGCAGTGTCTAGGAGCCATATGTGGTGCTGGTGTGGTTAAGGGGTTCGGAAAGACCCTATACATGACCAAGGGCGGAGGTGCTAATGTTGTAGCTCCCGGTTACACCAAAGGTGATGGCCTAGGTGCTGAAATTGTAGGTACCTTCGTGCTTGTTTACACCGTTTTCTCCGCCACTGATGCCAAACGTAGCGCCAGAGACTCTCACGTTCCTGTAAGCACTCCTCTCTTCTTTGTTCTGTAGAAATTGTTGGTTATGCTTGGTGAATGGTATGAATGATTAAACGTGATTAACCTTGAACAGGAATTTTCTTATGTTGTTGTAATCAAAGTATCTTTCTTTGTGTGAGATTTGAATAAAATGTCCCCAAAGGCATACTTTGTACTTGTAGAAATTGATCAATCAAAACAAAACATTATTGACACAAAAAAGTTTGATTGATTGGATTCCCTAACGCTGTAATTCAATGGTTTTCAGATATTAGCCCCCTTGCCCATTGGGTTTGCCGTGTTCTTGGTGCACTTGGCGACCATCCCTATTACGGGTACTGGTATTAACCCCGCCAGGAGTCTTGGTGCAGCAATCATCTACAACAAAGACCACGCATGGGACGATCATGTAAGCTAAAAATTCAACCATCTCTGAATTCAATATAATCAGGATTGTACTATTGAAATATTTGAGTTAAGGGCTCACCTAGACTATTATATCCTAACCACTACTACGTCGTGTTAACTTTGGCATGCATAAGGTGCATTATAAAATGTGACATATTTTGACGTTGTTAACTTACGACAACCCTCCATCTATCTGGGACAATGATCTAAAATATTTGCCGAATGGGATGATAAGATTGGATAAAGTTATCTTTTTCTGATAATATGCAGTGGATATTCTGGGTTGGACCATTCATTGGGGCAGCACTTGCAGCTCTCTACCATGTGGTTGTGATCAGAGCCATCCCATTCAAGAATAAGTGATGCCATTGTGACCACTGTTTCAAGCACATGAAGGATATTGAAGGCTGAATTATTTCTGTTGTATTTTCTATTTTCCTCTGTTTGGTTGTATGTATTTTATCAGTACTTGTGTATTGAGGTTGTGACATGCTCTTTGAAAAGGACTTCACGTTTGAAAGAAGTCCAAACAGCGCATGCTCATGTCCTCATAAAAAGTAATGGGCCAGGCTTTGATCTGTAATTTGGCTGTGCAATGAGAAGTCTTACTAATCAAACCGACCAAACCTACCACATGTCCATTTGTTCTACTCATCCACATTCTCTGTCTCAATCGTGCATACCGACATCAAAAAGAGAAAAAAGAGTTGAGATCAGGTGTCTCAAACTTATTGTTCATCCAATACATTTTATACGCTTCGATACATTACTTCTTCTATAATGAGAAGAGGTCAAATTATGATGATCTCTTTTTATTATTTGATCAAAAGAGGTAATATTTTCACGTTTTAAAAATGTATTGAGGGGCGATTTAGAGGACAAGTTAAGAACAGTGTATCTAAACTCGAGAGAGTGGAAGAGTTGGGGGGTGGGCTCGTAATAAAATATCGAAGTGGTAAAATAAAAACTTTAGAGGCGAAAGTAACATTCCATTTTCAATTATAGAAAATTAGAAATAAATCTCAACTAAGGGCAGATGTAATTTATGGAAAATGGGATAGCAATACAAAAATACAATTTATATATTATTGAAAGAATATTCCAAGGGAATGAATAAAGTATAGATAAAAATATATATCATACTTAATAGCTGACAAATATATTTATATGGGTTGAGGACTAAACACCAATAGATACTAAGATGACAAATATATCATTTACTTATTTTTTTATATTTTAAATTACAGTTTAAATATTAAAATATTAAAATAAAATAAATATAAAAAATAAGGTTCTGGACGGGTTTTTGGAACCCGACGGGGCGGCGCAACTCGTGCATGATATTTTGTCATCCCTACAAGAAGTCTATTAAGTCTTCTTCCAGCCTGAAATAGCGCTATTTATGTCAATTCCAGGCATTCGATATGGGCTACAAACTTTGGGCCATCAACAATAAAATCTGGCCCATAGCTATTATGAAATCCAGTTGAACAAAGAAAGGAACAAAACAAAGGCCAGTCCGTTTAGCTCCGATTGAAAACCGCGAGAAAAGAAGTTTATCGCCGATATTTTCCTTTCTGCTCAAGAAATCATTGCCGATTGAACATCAAATCCCACCTAAAAATCTTCTGTAAAATAAAAAATCAAAGCAATGGATGTCATAAAATCGCAGCAAATATCGGCACGTCCAATCGACAAGGTGGTGGTGCATCCGCTAGTGCTGCTGAGCATAGTCGACCACTACAACCGAGTTGCACGCGACACCAAGAAGCGCGTTGTTGGTGTTCTTCTCGGAACTTCCTTCAAGGGCACCGTTGACGTCACCAACAGCTATGCTGGTCAGTATTTCTCGCTGCCCCGTCTTCGGATCTGATAATTTCTGTCATATGTTGATTTTGAGCTTGTTCGTCGGATTTTTATGTATATTGTTGGTGTGGAATCTGAATTGTGCAGGGTTTTGAATTCTGTTAAGATTTTTTAGGAGTTTGGTGTTGCATTGGAATTGTTTCAAGTGAAATATTTGACTTTGGTTTGTACGGGGTGATTTGGCGTATGAATTTTTGATCTTTTGGGGCGAGGATTAGTTCGTAATTAAGTGGAAAGTAAATATATGTCTTCGGAAGTGGCAAAAATAGAAATTTGAGGTCCAAAGAACATCAATATGGATTTAGTTATTGAAATTCTTGGGTGTTACTTGGAAATGAGGAATTATTTTGGATTTTAATGATTGTAAATGAACGAAACTAAAATAAAAAATGTGACAGTGAAACACACTGAATTGGTCAAGTGGTGGATTTAAATTCTTATTGTTTGCTTTTCTTATTGCTTCTATATTTTATGTAAGGCTTCGCTTGTCAACACTCAACACTGGGTCAGGAGTAGAATTAGGGTCAATTTTTCAAAATAGCCCTCTTTTAAAGGACGAAGTGAAAAAAAACTCATATTTTAACGGGTTTATCAAGCTTACCGTAGGTTGAGTTACTAAAGGCTTGTTTGGCCCCATTTCTTAAAAATCATTTTTTTTCCAAATTCGTTTTCAATCACACATTTCGTGGCGTACACAACTTCTGTCAAATTTTCAATTACGCATTTCATCAATTGTTAACAAAATATACTAACATTCTGATATTTAACAAAATCAAATAGGAGTTAAGTATTGTCATGCAAGACTGCAACATTGCTCAAAGGGCATTGCTGAGGGTGTCACAACTAACTTTTCTGGTGTTTCTGGGACAGTCATCTAGGATATATTTCTCTCTGATTGGCGCTCAATGGCTCTACTACAGAAGGATGGTGTTTGATGTCAAGGATTGACCAATGTTGCAATGGATTTAGACTTAAAAAAGTTTTCAAAGTTGAAGTGAAGGGTATTTTAGGATTATATAATATGCAGACACCCCTTCAAAGAGATAAAAGTTATTTGTCCATTTTTCATTTTCTCTTCCTGTTTGGTCTTTCGAAGAAATTACCCTCTAGAATTATCATATTCCACCTCCAAACGACTCATATCCATGCCATGAAATTTAGGTAATTTCCATTTTTATTTTCTTGTGAAGTTTCCTTAATAAGTCTATTTCCATTACAGTGTATTTATTTTGCAAATGTTTTACAATTCTAAAACTTATTTTCAGTTCTGAGAACCTTTTTTAGAAGCATAAATGAAAAGATATTGTGTACGCATATCTTTGGCCAGGCCTCTGACCTAATAACTAGTATCGCCTCCCACGTAGCTCTATTGTTATGTTCTTCCTTTTTTCTGAAGCCTGTAAACCAGCTAAGAGACACTTTCATTGGGATCGTACCACTCGTGATTAGGAAATTCCTCTTGAATCGTTAGTAATATCTCTCCAGAGAATCTTTTGATTAGTAAGTCAAGGAACTCATACCATCAGTGCCTTCTTGTGAGTGAAATACATATATAGTTATGATTGTTTACCCCGAACCTAAGTGTATTTTTTACCAAACTTTGTGATAACATACATTCTTACTATAAAACTGTTCACTAATGGAAATGACAGGAAAGCCGAAACTTGCTAGTGGGCATTGCATTCAAATGCATTACATGTTTTGAAATTTAAAAAAAAAAGAATGCTTAGAGAAGTCCTTTACAATACTGTGTGACTTCTTTTTTTAAATTAAGGAGAGTAGGCTTGGCGTTGTGGATACAATATGTTTTTGAGAAGCAGGACTATATCCCATTTTTGCCTTGGCATTATGTATCTTCTGAGTTTAGAAAGCTCATTTGCACTTCGTGTGTTGCATATGCTGTGACTTCACTTTTTATATTTGGGTGATGATATGTGTAGTGCCTTTCGAAGAAGAGGACAAAGACACAAACATCTGGTTTCTTGACCACAACTACCATGAATCAATGTTTTCCATGTTCAGAAGAATAAATGGTATGTGATTCTCAATTATTGTAGTTTCTGTTTAAATATTTCCGGGAGTTTGTGGCACAATTTGATTGATTCCAAAATTCTATCAGCCAAGGAGCACGTAATTGGTTGGTACAGCTCCGGTCCAAAACTGCGGGAGAATGACCTAAATATCCATGCACTTTTCCATGAGTAAGATCTTCTGTCCTTATACAGCACAAATTTAACCTTTTCATTTCATTGGTAGATACTTTTTAACTTTTGATTCTAGTGTTGGGTAATTGCTGAGTTTGTCCTCTAGACTATTGATACAGCAGCAAAAGCAGACATGTTATCAATATGTGGTGAAAATGTCTTTTGCAGAAAAAGTTCTGCTCATTAGGAATTATTCATGTATTTGCAAATAAAGATTACTGCATTTGGTAGGAGTTGGGGTCTGAGGAAAAGATGAAGCTCATGGAAACTTACTAATGTTTCCCCATTGTATGGGTGTAAAAGGAATCTATTTTTATCCTAAACTACTTAATGACTTGTCTATCATATCTACTATGAAAACACGGTGACACGAAAACTTCTTATGTGTCGTATCTACTAGCTAAAGAAGGATACACTGGTTTGAATGGCTTGTCTTGTTATTAAGATATTGTCTGGGACCTTATTTAGCCCTTGTTTGGGCTCCGTTTTAATGAGGTTTTGGGAAAAATGTATTTTGGAATAGTAATTTTGTTTTGGAGAATGTGTGATTAAAAAGTAAGGAAAAGGTTTGGGTTTACGTGTAATATTATTTTTTGAAGAATGTGTGGTTGAAAATGAATTTTGGAAAAATGTATTTTTGATTTAATGGAGCCCAAACAAGAGCTTAATTTTTACGAAACTGCTTTTGGTAGAGTGAAGACATTGATTGTGGAGAATTACGAGTTTCTTTCCAATTTTCATAGATTACTTTTACTTTCTGCAATGTTGAAAATCATTTCTTTACAATCTGAAAGCATTTATGGATGCCGTGGCATGAATTTTATACTGCTCACCTTTTCTAGTAGTCTCTACCCAATAAAGGGAAATCCTGAAATATGTTGCAGCAAGTGCTATAAGAAACTTCTGTGTAGTTCTTGCAAAATATTGGAATCCAAATCTATGGGATTATTTCTAAAGAAATTTAAGAATATGTTCTTTGAAATTCTTTTAAAAGTATCTGTAGAATGCTTGTTTTTTTCACAATACCATTGGAATCCTTTTATGCATCTTTTTGTATTTCTTCCCAGTATTGACCAAGTACCCGTTGAGATTTTTAATATTCCTATCAAGCTTATCGAAATTTTGAAAGAAATGTCGGGATTAGCATCAAAAATTGTTTTATTTCAATTTAGTTGGTTTTTGATGTCCCTGCTTATCCATTTCATCTGCTGTCTTTGACCTTCTGACACCCTTTTTCCTTGGCTTTTCTCACCACCTCTGGACTTTGTTCGTGCTCTAAAAATGTCTAAGAAATCCTTCCTCCTCCACCTACTCTGGTTTCAGCTGCGCTAAAGATATCCTTATGTTCTTACGATTTGTCCATCTTATAACAATTTTCTTTTGCATTTTCATTAACAATTTTTTGAGCATATTATACAATCTTTAATTTTCTTGCATGTTTTGGAAAGTTTAAAAAGCTGCTATGAAGTTTACGTCAAAGTCAATAATTAATTTTAACTACAAATTTCACGGGACCACAACTCTTACCAACTTTTCAACCACACGTTTCATCAAACTTTAAAAAAATTGTTTAAACTTCTATCTAAAGCTTAGTCAAACAACCCTACATTTCCTTTCAATTATCAACTTCTGTTTATGCTATTTCAGCTATGTTCCCACTCCTGTGTTGGTGATTATAGATGTCCAGCCAAAAGAGCTTGGAATACCTACTAAAGCCTATTATGCCGTCGAGGAGGTTAAAGAGGTACAACAAAAGTTTATTGTTGTATATTTGTTTTACTGGGCTAGATATTTGCTTGATCAACTAAAATCTCAATTTTTTTATACTTGTTTTACTTGGTTAGATATTTGCTTGCTCAACTAAAACCACAAAATTTTTTAAGAGGATATAAATAGAAAGATTGCAAAACTGCAAAGCTAGACATTTGGTAGAAACCATATGGAAATGTGCGAAATTCTGGTCTAATGCTTGGATGGACTTGCAGAATGCAACTCAGAAAAGCCAGAAGGTATTTGTGCACGTTCCTTCAGAAATTGCTGCTCATGAAGTTGAAGAAATAGGTATGCCCATCACATTCCAGATGTGCATTTCTTATATATATCTGTCGTTTTATATATTTAATCCAAAGAGGAATCCTTCTTGCCAACTGCTGGCATTTTCACTTCTATTAACATTATCATTTATTAGTTTTCCGTCTCTCTTCTCTATCAATCTATATGCCATTCCCACTCATCCTTCCTGTGACAGGAGTTGAACACTTGCTGCGGGATGTGAAGGATACAACAATCAGTACACTAGCAACAGAGGTTTCTTTTCCACCTATCTCCTATTGTAATCATGATTCTCAAGATTTTTGATAAATAGTACTTGATTGAATTCTTTTTCTTTCCTCTTCTTTACCTGTTGTCTCCTACTGTAATCATGATTCTCAAGATTTTTGATAGATAGTACTTTGATTGAATTCTTTTTCTTTCCTCTTCTTTACCTGTTGATGTATAAATGAATGGGAATAAGAAACTTGGAGCTCTTTTTCCTGTCCAGGTGAGTGGAAAGCTTACAGCTTTGAAGGGATTGGATGCACGATTGAAAGAAATACGCAGTTATCTTGACCTTGTTATTGAAGGAAAACTTCCGTTGAACCACGAGATTCTATACCATCTACAGGTAACACTTGTTGTGTTGCATTACAATTTCAATTTACGAAATGCATCATCGATGCCCTAGCTACCTTTACAACTCCAACTTGGGAAATTATTAGTTAATATATCAGTTAATTTTTATGTTTTAAATATTCCAAAATGATTTGTGTTGATGCGTTTTTGGTTATTTATTTAGATATAATTCTTGAAATTTTGGCTAATGTTGCATACTAAGTTAACATACAGTAGGATATATGTTAAATGATTGCCTGAGGTGGATATGTAGTTGTAAGCTTCACACTTGAGCCTGGATTGACCATCTTGTTATGTGACTTAAAAAGGCCCTTTAGATTGGGAATTTTCATCCTATGGCAACTTGGTAGCTCTTGACTACGTATTTGTAATTAATGTTACATTCAACTACAGCAAAAGTATGGGGATGTGAAACAGAACATCTGAAACCCCCTTTCCTGGAGTCCGACGAGGCTTTATAGTAGTCCTCCACGCAATTTTGTTAAAAATATATCACTTCATTCTTTTCTATGATTCCTTAATGTTGGTGTGGATATCGCTCTATGCATGCACTTCCACAATTACAGATGATTTCCTATCTTATCTTTAAATGTGTCCCACTTCTACAGGATGTGTTCAATCTACTACCAAATCTCAACGTCTCTGAACTAATTAAATCTTTTGCAGGTAAAGTAGCTAGTCTTCAATTATTTTTTGCTTGATTTTCCTGTTGAAAAGGGCATTGTGTATCTCAGGATTCTGAGGCTGTCTTTTAACGAATTTACTAATGTGCTTCTTTTTCTCAGTGAAAACCAATGATATGATGTTGGTCATATATCTTTCATCCCTTATCCGCAGTGTGATTGCTCTCCATAACTTGATCAACAACAAGGTGAGATGTCCTCGAAATTTGCTCATAGCCTTTTCCATTTTTTGGTTGTCCAACATGTTAAAACAAACTACAGAAGCTGTAGAATCTTGATTTTAATACTGGAGACTCAGCAGTCTTTCTTATCTACCTCTATGGAAATGGTGGCCTCTACCAAATTAACACTTAACACGAGTTATTGGTATATTATCATTGAAGGAATACCGTTACTTGGTCCGAGGCAAAGAGAACTGATGTTAAAATGGCACCTGAAGAGTATTGTGGGGTCGGATCAATCATAAATGGGTATGGATAAACTGAAAAATGATGAAAGTGAGAGTGATTAATTTACTTTGGTGCCTTGTAACCACATAAACCTGGCAGCCTACTTGGTTATATACATCTTATTATCCAAGCACCAGATCCTTTGTTGAGGGACTGTTATCTCATAATCAATCCTATTACACATTATATGATTAGAATTAAGCTAGATGGACACCAAGGATGACATCACCCAAGGTGGAAGGAACCTAGACAGTGATGAGATGAATGAGTTTAAAATCAATGGTGTAGATTGCTGCCACATGGAAGAGTATCAAACTTCTTATCAACCATGATATGATTAATCAAAGCAACAAGTGCACATTGTTTATGCTATTTTGTACATTGTAATTAGTTGTCCCTGCCTAGATTGGTTGCATAAATTTTATACGTTCTCTCGTCTTGATATTTTGGAAACATTTTTTCAGATGCTTAACAAAGAACACGAAAAGGCAGAAGACGCAAAGCCAGTTGCTGTGTCGACTGCTGCTGGAAGCTAAGCACGGAAATGTCCCATTGAGAGTTTGCTTTTTCGTGGAATTCAATGTGGTGGCAGAATTTGACGTCGGAATCCAGACTTCATATTTTGGGAATGTTGCAAATGAAGGCACTCTTATGGTTCAGGCTGAGTTTAGATTTTCTCAATAGTTTATGCCTTTGATCCCATGTGAACTTTTTAAATAGTCAGTCACCAAAAATGGAACATATATTATAGAGAACATGTCACTTTTTCTCCCCCATGTACTTGGATAGGAATTCGTGTTGTTTGTCTGAATTGGATTGGAACTTTAACAAGAGATACACCTGGTCCTGGATAGAGGGAAGGGCTTCAATTTAATTATGTTCATGTCATTTATGCTTTAATATTGCATGAATACTGCTTTTGGACGATTCACCTTTCACATGTCAGCATATTGGAGTTGCCTGGGTCTTGTTTTCTCTTCCGGGATTCTCTTTGTTAGTGTTGATCTTTGCTTAGGCCGAATCTGTGGAATTTACACTCGTACTCTGCACTTCTCTTTATGAGTGTGGATCTTTGCTAGGGCTGGATCTGTGGATTTCACACTCGAACTCTGCTCGCACCATGAAGTAATGGAGTTGCTTGATCGACATGGATGTTCTTAAAGAATATAAATTAAAATTTCATCGATCCGTTTTGTTTAACAGAGTGAAAAACAAAGGATGCGTAGAAGCAGTAATTTGGTACAAACATGTATAATGAAATTAATCAATTTTCTTCTTCATCGTCATCATGCTGCAATGATTCCTCGAACTCAGAATCCTTAATTACCCCCATTCATAACGTGCACTAATGTATTCCCCTATTTCAAATCTATTAACCACCACACCAGCATTCCATCCAAATCCTTTAATATGTACACATTAAATGCCGATATCGAATCATAAACAATCTCCTTGCCATGATGTAAATCGGCCGAATAAATCGTTCTCGGTACAGCTGAAAATCCGAATATTCGAGTCAGGATCGCATATGTATCTTTCGCCTTTTCACCAGCCAAACTCTCCGTTGGATTCAATATCAATTCGCGTCCAAATGCTCTTCCGAAGGAAAAATACAGTGAATGCCAGATCTTCAGGTAACATTTTATTCACAATATCTCGAAAATTGCTTATTTTCTCGTCCACAAAATTCTTGTTTGATTTGCAGTTGCGCCATTTGACATGGAGATTTTTCCAACTGAAATTATCTGAATAATAATAACGAATGAAACTGAGATGATTATGCAGACAAACTTTACCAGATTCTTCAACTACATAAACCCCCCTTTTCTTCTCATTCTCTGACAAACTATCTTCAACTTGTTGCAATCTAATTATAACTTCACCCTTGGATTCATCATCACAAAATGGGGAGAGGTCGAATTTAATTGATGAGGAAATTAGGATTTGGGGTCGAATCTCTAGTTATGTTATTAACTAAAATGGTTTTATCTAAATGTATATTTTAAAAAACAAGAAAAAGGAAAATATAGTTTAAATATAATATAAATCTTTTAAATAGAATGGAGGGGCAAAATTGGAAATGTATATTTACTTTTAGCTGACCTGAGGAATATGTTATGAATGTAAACTTCAAATCTTCAATGGTGATTTCTGAATTTTTTTTTTCTTGAATAATGCTTTGAACAATCTAAATGAATAGCTTTACTCTTTTTTTTTTTTGTAACACAACATGTTACCTATTTTATTATTGTATTACATGTGTTTCACTACCATATTTTCAACGCCACCATTGCTATCACTTGTAATACAGTGTGTCGCATATTTCTACCGCAATTGTGTTCGTCGATACTATTTGTAATCTTCGGTGTTATATGCCTTAAATGAAGCTTTCTCCTTCGAAATCAAGTCACAATTTTTGCACTAAGTCACAGTTTTTAAAGACCTCTTTTTTTTTCACAATCTTAAATTGTAAATTCTAACTTGAAACTATAAAACGTATTATATGTGATATGCTGGACAAAAGAATGTCACTAATTTGTGACGGGCAAATAACCTTATAAGTCACAAATACACAACGTAATAGGTCATAGTCATATAACACGTTAAAAATGAAGCTTGCAAATTGTGGAGAGATATAATTAATGTATTGTGACCGAAAAATATGGTGATCGAGGTCGGTTAATGGAAACAATTGTTTAGTATTTTTGCTTCGCCAACAAATGGAAAACGATGAAAAAACTGCGGCGGCAAGAAGGAAAATTAATTTGGAAGAAATCACGTTGAAAAAATTGTGGCAAATTCTTCATTTATTCTCAATTATCTCTTAATAACTCTCAAATTAAGTCACATCATTCTCTTATATAAATTAATATATTTTTATAAATTTTAGAAATGGTAATATTGATTTATGACTTGATTTTTGAAAAAAATCTACAAATTTTGTATTTTAAAAATGAACTCTTAAAGTATGTTAGTTATGATTTTTTTTTTTTTTTCCATAATTTTTCCCAACTATTGTTTAGACATGAGCCTAGAGGTATCAATCCGAGTGGGTCAGGTCGGCCCGCCAACATATGAGCCCGGTAACGGCTCGTGTAAAAAAAAGCCCGCATGCTACTGGTTTCGGGTCGGTCCACAAATTTTGGACTACAACCCAGGCCCGCCCGCTGACCCATCCGGATCGAGCTCATACAGGTCGCGAGTTGTTCCAAGAATTTTTTATATTGATAACAATTTTTTTTTGTTAAATGTAAATTAAAAATTGAATAAAATGATAAATTCATATTTATACCAAGAAATGTTTAAATTCAAATTTAATAATTGAAATTTAACAACTAAAAGCATTTCTAATTACGTGAAGGTATATATTTATAGCAAAGTACATCCCAACTAGGTCGACACCTACTTTTACTATAATTTATAATTTAAGTACATCACAACTAGTTTGTCGCCTACTTAATTCTTAACTATAATTTACTTGTTGAAAAATTATATATTTGTTTCTCAATCAATCTTCATGAACTGTAAGATTTTTGAAGTTTTCAACATCATCATTAATTTTATCTTGAATCTGATGTTTGTTTTTTTCCTTACATTTTAAGATGATTCAACTTCTACAACAGTATCATCTTCTAAATTTATTGGATAACAACTATCATTGAAAATAGGATTTTGAGAAGAAGAATCGCGAGAATCCATAATATAGTAGGATTAAAAAGTTTAGTAGTGACTAGTGAGAACTGAGAAGAAAGAAATATAATCAAGATGATGATGATATTTGCAATTGAATAATTGTAATTGTAGTAAGATAGTAACAAATATGAATTATGAAGTATAAATGTATAATAACTAATGAGAGGGTATTGTAAAAATAATTGTAAGAATAAATTGGAATTTATAAATGAAGGGGATGATATTACCGTTATAAAAGTAATATTACCGTTACATTTTTTTTTTTTTTACCATGCAGTATCCTGCTGTTGGGGAGAGAGCCAAACGGCTCTCTCTCCCTTTTTTAAAAAAAATTGTTTTATTTTTTTTTTATGTGCCTGGGTTAACCGCAGCACGTGGGGGTGCAACCCACGAAACCTGCAGGTTACACCTCCTTGACCTGTGAACCGCTGGCACGGGTCACGGGTAGGCCCGCGGTCCCATTTTCACGGGTCTGACTAGTCCATCCGTCTTAACACCTCTACATGAGCCCATCTAGCGTGTTCACGAGGTTTCCAAACAATAGTTTAACAATAAAGCTCCAAGTATAGAAAAATTGACAAAATTGATACAGAAGCTGTCGTGGCCAAACTTGAATTGTGTGTTTTTTTCCGTCTTCCAATGCTGACTGTTGTATGTTAAAATTTCATGTATATGTACCTATAACATAATTGATAGTTTCATGGATCAAGCGGACACTCTTGTTGGAGTGGGTCAATAGTAGAACAAAGCTATGAAAAATGGTTCCCAAGAAATGTTGAAAATCACTGTCATATGTTAAACCCTTCTTCATGTGAAAATCACTCACACCATTCTTAGTTAATCATGTAAATGGTTCTATTTGATGTCAAATGAATTTTAACTATAGAAATCAAAATAAAATTGTTTCAAAACGGCTTTGGTCGATTCAAAATTGAAATGTTAATGGAGATTAAAATTTAAAGCTAATAGTTTGTATATTATAATTTTAGGTAATGCTATTCATCCCCACTGGAATTACAAACGCAGTTTAGGTGCTCTTAATTTCACCATTTAATGTGACTTTAATGCCACCTAAATTGTGTTTGTAACATCACTGAAGATGAATAACATTGGTCTCCTTCGTTCGATTTGACGGTTAGTTTTTTCATTGATGATAGGACAGTCTTGGACAAACAAAACATTTATTTCTGGTGGATTTCAAGAAGCAAAAGAAATTCTATATTTCAAGTATTTATCGAAACATACTCCATGAACTCAGGGTCGGATTCTAACGCTGCCATGGTCTCTGCTGCCAAAACCACTTCTAAATCAACGCTTCCACCACCATTGCGACCTGGAAATGCAGAAATCTTGCCATCAAATTTGTTCGCCAGCCCGCTCCGAACCGCCATGGGTTTGCCCCACCCGAAATCATTTTCGTACATTGGGAACCTTGGAGAGCTTCCCATTGTGATCATCGCACCATCGAAATTCCCCAACGGGAAGCATCGTGGCTCCTGCTCCCACTTCGCGATGTGTTTTCTTACCATTGCGTTATCGTAGCTCAACACGTTTTTGTTCAATTGCTCGGCGCACCAACGCAAATCTTTAGCTAACACATCGCCGGCTGAAGCGTATGTCGGAATACTCTGAATCGCGTTGCCAAAGTATAGGGCCTCCAGCTTCGGCTCGAGCCTGTGCCGGCAATTCACTGCCATCCGGAACGTTGTCGTTTTAGAGGCTGGAAATTTTCTCGCTCGAGTGATGCCGCGCCATAACAGGGCACATAGTGATTGAAATGATGAAATCTCGGCAGTTGGATTTTTGTTACTTGGTTCCCTGGAAATGGTGTTTCTGAGCCAAGTTAACGGTGTCAACTTTCCGTCAGGAAATTTTATCGGGTCGTTACTCTGCTTGCCCGTCAATTCTACAATGTTTAATTCCGATTTCTGATTATTGGCTTTGGATTTCAGCTTCTGAATGGATTCTCTGCTAAAACTGAAAATTCTCTCTCTTAACGGTGTATCAACGGAGAAGCTAACCTTGGGGCCGCCGGCAGGGAGTTTCAGCACCGCTGTAGAAATCAAAGCAGAGTCACGACAGAAGTCCGGCGTCCTTGAAATCCTTTCGTCGCCTCTACTTAACGCAGCAAAAGTGTTAAAGAAATTCCAGAAGGAAGTTCCATCTGTAACAGCGTGATTCACGTCGCAGCCAATGAAAACACCATCGGCCAATTCCGTGACCTTCACAGCAAGAATAGGGCTGAAATGGCCTTCATAACTAACCTTTTGGTCAAAAGCAAAGAACCCATTAACTTCTTGAGGCACATCAAGGGAGCCCAAAATATCCCTCAAGTGAATGTGGGTCCCACTTGCTTGGATAAAATCTACTCCAGCGTCATTGCAGGTAATGTAAACATATCCCTCTGATTCGATGGTGAGTCGACCCGCAAGCGGCGGAAAATGAGTCAATGTCTGTGAGAGGGTTGTTTTGAGGAGAGCAACGAGTTCAGAAATTGGAAATGGGGGGCGAGTAAACAAAGCCCCTTTCTGAATGTAGTGACAAGATAGCATTGGAAGGTCTGAAACTGAAAGTTTGAGGTCACCCAAATTGGATTTTTGTGCTGGGAAAATTGTGCATTTGGAAACCAGAGTTAAAGAGTTCCAAGGCATTTTCAAATCTTGATTTGCTTTAGCAGTCATTGTGAACTGTGCTTCCGCTTCTCACTTCAGAGAAGGAATAGAATTGAGAACTGAGAGTGAAGAGTGGAGGCATAGGGGTTGGTTAAATATGAGTGGAGTGTGGGGGTTGGGTTCATGCTTTTGCTGAGGTGGCGTTAGTTATTGCTGATGGAGGGTTTTTAATTAGAGTGGGTGGTGCTGACTGTTGATTCTTACAATTTGTGAGATAGTTGACCTCAAATTTATATCACTTTATTATTTTGCTAAAAATTAATGAAATATGAATAGATAAAAAGTTAATAAAATTTATGAAAAATGTTATTCATCCCCAGTGGGGATGTATCCCCAGTCTATGCGGATATAAATGATTGGTTAACGCCACATAGACTGGGGATGAATAGCATTTCTCAAAATTTATAGGTCCATAAAATACGTGATTGAAAATGAATATAAAAAATTCAAGTTTTGGAAAATAGAAACCAAACATAAACATAATTGGCCGAACAACTGTTCGACTATCACAAAAAGCCTATGAGTTAATGTTTAATTAAAAACAAGATTTTTAGGATCGATTCTCTAAAATAAAAGAAAAAAGCCATGTGTACATTAATTTTGACACTCCTCTTACAAGTGTGTGGGACCCACGATTTTTTAAATTGTGGGCCCCTCACCTTTGTGAGAGGTATGTCATGCATGATGTACACCAAAAAGTGTATGTCAAGCATGACTCAAAATAAAAAGAAGGAGTCTAATAGAGGAGTGCCGTTACCTATCCTAATGACGTTTAACAATAATTTAGGTAGTAATTATGTGTCGTTATATGTTAGATTTATTTGAAAGTAGGAAGATATAGTTATTTAATTGAATTTATCATATGACAGATTGGCATAGAATTTTCTATTTTAATAATGTCTAATGTTTAATCCTTTATATCAAACATATAATCTATAATTTTAGCTATTCTCTTGCTAAATCATCTCCTATGAAATTTCAAATGTGAGAGCACTTAGAGCCAACATTTACCAAGAAGAGGTGTCAAATATTTTAGCAAGGACGTGGCCAAGAAACAACTATGACAGATGGGGCAAGTAGAAAGCAGCACGTACGTTGTATGGACTGCCTCCGCCTAGACCTAGTAGTAAGAAGCAGCACACAAATCAAGAGTATTGTTGGAATTTCACGAGGGATGGATCATGGATGGTATGGTCTCCCATTTTGCAGCAATTAAATTCTTCAATTACTGAAAAATTTAAATTAATTATTAATAATAAATGGTTACTATTAACCTCTAAATTTGATTAGACCTAGCTATCAACATATTTCAACTCCCTTTACGTCCATATGTATATTATCTGCACACTTGAACATCGCATTAGATTGCATAAGATTGTAGCTCCGATGGATTGCGACTTTCGCATGTCCAAGAGTGGGACGGTGAAGGATATTGAGGTGTGGGATAGATATAATGGACGAAAATATTGCTGTTAGGTTTAGCTTACACGTGCACAAGAGTAAACTTACCAAAGTTTGGATTACCTTTAAATGTGAGAGAGAGAGCGAACGAGCCAAGTATTTGTAGGTGGACGAGGCCTTCTTAATGCTTGACAGGTGACCTCATCATAAAACATAATTTGTTATGTACAATTGTGTTAATCAATTATCATCATAGGCATGCGGTCTCCATACTTGCAATGGAGAGGGAAGGGTTCCACGGTGCAGTAATTGCCCATAAAAAGGGCATCGCGTGTGCGCGTAGTGTCCGCAATCAGCATGTGGTTGTGGAAGCTACGCTTCAACATGCCATAAGTGAAGGATTTTTCGGGGGACAGACGCCCAACCAATAGGGGACGCCACATGCACCCCTTGTTCGTCTAGGCCTACGTGGCCATTGACGAATAGCAAAACTCTAAGTAAAAGAGTTTTCCTAGAAAGACGGTGATTCTGTCACTTCAGTGGGTGCATGTGGTGTCCCCCACCTGTTTGTCCAGGGGCCACATGGCCTTGGATGAATAGCAAAACTCTAAGTGAAGGAGTTTCGTTAGAAAGACACGACCACGTGACCTTAGATGAATAGCAAAATTCTCCAGCACATGCGCCCCCTGTTGGTTGGGCATCCATGCGGACAGGCTCCCCCACAGACGTCCACCCAATAGGGGTCGCCACATGCGCCAATGAGGCTAACGTCATCTCTTCTACCATTCAGCATGGAATTGCTCAATCTGCTACAATTTGCAAAGATCTGAAAATTAGCTGTAGAGGTGGAAGACAAAGCGAAACCATCGGGGTCAAATTGAGCTTTAGACTTTATTGGATGCAATTTTTTTGTAGTATTTTCAAATTATTTTTAAATATTGCTATGTTTTCATGCATTTCATCTAATGATATCGAAAAAAAAGCAAGTCCCAAAAAAAGGGGGTCATCATCTACCTCGGAAGCCATTAGTCCGAAGTACAAAAAGAATTTGCTATTGTCAAAAAGGCGGTTTAAGTGGCGTAACATTTGGGAACGTCTATATATGTCAACAAATTTCAGCCATTTTCAATTTAAATAGAGAGTTTCAACACTGCATAAGGATAAGTTGTTTTGATTTCAGTTTAAAGATATTTTATGATTTTAGCTAAAGATGATATTATGATTATTAGAGTTTTAGTTAGACACAAATTCTAAAAGAACGTAAAAATATATATTAGTAGATAAATTTGGAATAGAGACCTCGACTTAACCCCTGTTTGAGCCCCTTATTCAAAAACTCAATTTTTTTCAAAATCATTTTTAAACGCATATTTTTGTAAAAAAAATGGGGCTCGAACAAGGGCTTATTTATGTTGTAGCAAAACGTTCATCAATTAACAATTGTATCTCGACCTTTCAAATTTGTTGCAACTTAACCCCCAATTGATGGTTTTTTGTCAACTAAATCACCACACCAACCTTATAACCTTATCATCAATTAACTAAAAACTTAAATAAAAGAAAATAATAAATAAAAATAAAAAAACGAAACAATTGGTTATCCCATCCCGCCCCATTAAATGTCTCACGCTTAAGTGCAAATCAACACATTTTAACCCTTATTTGATTGGATTATTTAAGAATCACTTCTCCTACATTCATTTTCAACCATACATTTTTTTTAAAAAAAATCATTTTCCATATTTCTTCATAATTTTTTTTTTATCACACATTAACAAAAAAAAAAAAAAAAAATACAATTTTGTAACTTTTATTATAAAATCGATATGGTGGAACCAAAAGAGGGACTAGGTACAAGGACCGAGGAAGGAGCGAAGAAGAGGGAATGAGAGAGGGTTGCGCGAGGATGGAGAAGTAGGGGCGGCCGGTTGTCCATTTTTTTCAAATTATTTTATATTGCCACCACCAAATTTTTAGTGCAATGCTCGTCAGGTTAGGGGTTAAAATGAAGGGAGAATAGATTGTCGTAAAGAACGTGAAAATATAAAGACCAATTTAGTACAGCAATCATAGATTAAGAACATCTATGCAATTTTATAGAAATATCTCAACAGTAAAATAATACGCATACTTTGCCCATAAAAGAACAAGGAAATAAAAGAATCCTAACTACCTTCAAAGCAGGGGCGGAGCTAGACTTTGAATGTAGCGGGGGCCTAGAGGTAGAGGTGAAGGGGTGGGGGCCGACGGGGGTTCGCCCCCGAAATTTTTTTTTTGATACGTTGTTAACAAAAAAATCAAGAAACGTATAAAAGAAAGTACTAATCTTTAATTTAGCAAAATCATACTTTGATAACGTTATATAACTACATTATAATCGGGCGAAACTCGGGCAAAAAGTTACTGCATTGGTCGCTCGAGACACACATTAACAAAAAAAAAAAAAACTACAATTTTGTAACTTTTATTATAAAATCGATATGGTGGAACCAAAAGAGGGACTAGGTACAAGGACAGAGGAAGGAGCGAAGAAGAGGGAATGAGAGAGGGTTGCGCGAGGATGGAGAAGTAGGGGCGGCCGGTTGTCCATTTTTTTCAAATTATTTTATATTGCCACCACCAAATTTTTAGTGCAATGCTCGTCATGTTAGGGGTTAAAATGAAGGGAGAAGAGATTGTCGTAAAGAACGTGAAAATATAAAGATCAATTTAGTACAGCAATCATAGATTAAGAACATCTATGCAATTTTATAGAAATATCTCAACAGTAAAATAATACGCATACTTTGCCCATAAAAGAACAAGGAAATAAAAGAATCCTAACTACCTTCAAAGTTTGTTCACGACTCCCTGTTTCTCTCAAACTTCTTCTTCTTCTTCTATTTGTTCATGATATATAATGGCAGTGCATTGATTTCGAAAAAACCACAAATCAATCAAGAACAAGAAAACGAAAGAGATTCTTTGTTTTATTGGATGGGTGTAATACTTGAAGAAGGAGAAGAACGGGAACCGACATTGACACCGCCAAACGCCGGCGCCTTATTATTGCCGCCAGTAAATTTTTCGACGGTGGAAGATAACACCGTTTACCGTTCGGGCTTCCCGCAGCCATCCAATTTTTCTTTTCTTCGTTCCCTCAAACTTCGTTCCATCATGTTAGACAATTTTTTTTAAATTATTGTTATGGTCATTATTATCATTATTATTTTATGTTCTTCAATTTGTGGGTTGGATTTTGAATTGAGCGTGGAAGTTATGATTAAGTTTTAATGGGCTTTGCAGATATTTGTGTCCTGAACCCTACCCAGAAGAGAACTGGCAATTTCTTCAATCCAATAAAGTTAAGCTCTACCAATTTGGAATTGATGGCACCAAGGTATGTGTGTTATGTATTTTTCCTCTCTCCCTTTTTTTTTTACACTTAAATTGTTAATTTAAATATTTGGTGAACGCATTTTAAAACGTGGTGGAAAATATGTGGTTAAAAAAAATAAAATTGGATTTGCATGTAATATTAATTTATTGAAGATTGTGTGGTTAAAAATGAATATTGAAAGAATGCATTTTTTTAAGAACGTGGATCAACCAGGGTGACAGATTACAAATTACAATCTATATTCTTGCATGTGTGGATTCGGTTGTAATGGACGCCACTAAAAATGGAAAGTAAAAGCTAAAATATTGTTCATTATATTATCCACGGCTAGTACTGCCTTATCGTAATGAATGAAGCCAATCAATGTGTTGATTGCTAAATTAGGCATTCAACGCCACGTTGTTCTGACTTTAAGACTTGTATGCTTTCAGGAGCCATCAGCCATTCCAAGGAGTACTATTACTGAAGCTTTAAAAGTTTTAATTGGTATACATGGATATTTTTTATATGTTTCCGAACACACATGGATATAAGTTCTTCACTAATTTCTGAATTATTTATTTATTTTTTCATTTTTTAGATGTGAGAAATCATCCAGTACTCATCCACTGCAGACGTGGAAAGGTATATTCTGCATTATTTTTCTTAAAATTATCGTTTTATAGTCTAGAATAATCAATCATCAGACTTTCTATGTGTTTGAAATTTGATTTATGCTTCATCATGTTTGTCATTAGGGTTTGCACCAGCTAGATAAATGAATATCTGTCTTTTAGCATACCTAGTTTGTGTTTCTTGGACTTCACTTATCAAACAAAAATGCAGGCCATAAAGATTCTAAAATCATTCGAACTGCAGAGAAAATTAATTGGATGAAAATGTTTTATCTTTGAATGTATTATCTTTGGCATGTAACGAAAACTCTTAGCTGGTTGAACTGTTATTCATTGAAACTTTATATAATCAATGTTCAGCCTATTGATGACTCAGAATTGTTTGGCTGATAAATTGATCAAGTTTGATCTTGATCCTCAAATGATGGCATTTTGATGGCTCTGCTACTCGATTGTTCTTGAAATAGGGCCCAATTCGAGTGTGGATTGCATATTTAATTTGAGAGTGATCAATGTCCTGGCTTGACTGATATATAGCATCTGTGTAATTAGAGCATGGTTGGCTAAGCCTAAAAAGATAACTTATAAGTAAGCTTTCTAAGGTTAGAGGAATTTTTTTTATTAAAAAGGAGAAAAAAAAATGAGCTATTCAAAAGTGGTTGGAAGCATAAGGTTAATTAAAAGTAATTTTTACTTTTTTTAAAGCTTCACAAACAGTTTACTGTCCATATTAAAATATAAAAAGTTGAATCATTGATCTTAACCTTGTGTGCTTTTTTATGGACTTGATAAGGTATTTCATCTTCTGAGTGGCCATAGCCGCTCGTATAGTGATCTCATGTTTTCAACTTGCAGCATCGGACTGGGTGTCTTGTGGGTTGCTTAAGGAAGTTGCAGAACTGGTGTTTGTCTTCAATTTTGGACGAGTACAAGAACTTTGCTGGCACAAAATCGAGGGAGACCGACTTGAGATTTCTTGAGATTTATGATATTTCATGTCTAAGGCATAGCCTACAGAGCCTCATCTACCAGTACCAGGGGTATGGTCTGCAGAAGAGACGCTTGCTTTACAGAGAAGATTGCGTACAGAAGCCGAGGATGAGTTCAGTGCAGTTAGCCTAATTGTAGCATAGAGTTTACATTTCACTCAAGTTGAAAATTTTGTTAGATTGGTTTCTACTGCTGTGCAAGAATCATTGCTTGGAATGGTTTATTCTTTTGTTATTTGACATAATGGGAAATTGCTTCAAATTTTGATAGAAGGATAATGAACTACTTAAATAATGGGGTACTAGATGGTGCGGATTACTGTAAAATAGATAATGTATAGTGTGACTTGGGGCGTGTCGATAATGTTGGATGTGTGGAGTTGAATATAATGTACACTTTTCTTTAGATATTTTGCACATGTATTAGGTTATTCTAACATTTCCTCATGTATAAAGGGTTAGGGGAGCCTATTTTTTGTGTATTAGAGAAAACAAAGATATGTGAGCCGAAAAATACATTGTAATCTTGATCTTCGAATTAATGCAGTGTTACAGCAACATTGAATAGATGTAGCTCTCGCATTGAAAGTAAACCACTTTAATTTCGATGTTTTTGCTTTCGATATTCTTTGATTCATGTCGTGGTTGCTCTCGGTAATATACGTGAGTGATTAATTCGATATACTACAGGGAGAATTTCAGTTGGGGTCCCAAATCTTTTAATATCTCGCGGACTGTATTTTAACATTTCATTCTTGCACAAATAGTCCCAAACCTTTCATATCGATTGCATTTGGAGGACATATGGACAGGATCCGTCCATCTCTGCTTTGTAGAAAATTTACAGGTTGTGGGTTCTTACTTTTGGCATCGATTATGTTTGAGATTGTGGTTTTTAAACTGGAGGCTCAATTTGTAACCGTTCAATAATTGTGAGCTGGCAATATAAATTTTCTTTCCAATATTTAGTTGAAATAGAACAAATAAAATATATCACCAAGTTAGATTTGATTCTATCCATAACATTTTTTTTAAATGTGAGTTGACATTTTAAATTATCTTTTCAATATCTACCAAAAATAAAATATGTTATTTGAAATTATCTTTTCAATGCCAACGAAAAATAAAAGAAATCATCAAATAGCATATGATATATAGAATAATAGTATCCAATAGATAGCATAACATAAACACCAAATTACTTACCTTTTTTTAATAACCGTGAATGTTCGCGTCAACTTGCAGGCACATCGACTAATCCCATGGGACCCTAAAGTTTACGGTAGGATACTCGCCTCAATGGCTCTGAGGGAACTCGAACTGGTAACCATTGGGAAGTAAACCTAAAACCTCACCAATTGAGTACCAAATTTTAGAAGTGCTAAAAAGAACATATATTAACTTCTCTAAAAATAACCTAACAATAATCTCAACTTTTCTTTCCATCTCATCGTTTCCACTGCATCCTATTGGATCATTGGATTATGATGAATAAAGTGTAAAAAATAAAAAAAGACAATTCCAAAGTCAATTACCCACAATTTTGATTTAAAAATCAAAATTCGCTCGAAATCCAATCGATTCTCGATTTTCAAATTCGATTCCTAATTAATTCTGAAACTAGATTGAAATTGGTTCCGATCCAACTAGATCAAAATTTCCACACCTAAATGATACCACCATTAAAATTTGTCACGCTATTTATAGAACTTATCATTTTATTGATTTGTATAGTACTATTGTATTTATAATTAAAATTGGGATTTCAATGTGGACCTATTGATGTGATGTCACGTGACACTAATGTGATGCCAGGTTGAAAAAGTAAATAATTCAAAAAAATTCTTTATTCCAAACTGTCCAATCACGTGTCGACACGCGTTCCCCATATTTTTTAACCTGTCATTGAGCTTGATTTTGTAGCATAATTGGTGAGAAAAAGAGTGCATAGAGAGAGAAGTCAGATTGAGAGTGAATTGGGAAAAGCTACTGTGTAGTTCATGAAGTGGAAATATTATATTATTTAATCAATTAAGTGGCGTGCATCAAAATTGTATAAATTCAAATTTTGTTCAAAAAATTGGTCTAATAATCTGTCATTTTAGAGTTTATAGATTAGTTAAGAAAAACATGAATGCATATTGTATACTACAATTTAATGGTCCAAATTTAATGTACGCTTCAAGCCACCGAAAACTCCGAACCTCGATTAAATTTCATTCGCACTGAACAATATTCCTGGCTCCACCCTTGAATATTTGCATATATTGTTGTTGCAATTTGTTATTTTACTTTTACATTCATTAGATATCACACGTTTGGAAATATGATTTAATGACAATATAATTCTTTCACTTAAAACCCCAATTGACTTAAACATGTTCTTTGTTGTTCATGTATTAGAAATTATTAGGTAAATCTTTTTTTTTCCCGAAAAATTCTTGTTTCAGTTTATTCGTTGAGTTATATTTTTTTTGTATTTATTCATCTTTAGTTTTTAGAAAACTCATGTATATGTCATGCCGATGTTTGACATAATAGAAACTTGGGGCGTGAGGCAAGACACACTCGAGCACCAATTATTGAAGCCAACAGTCCTTGGAGCGTCTGAGTTTTGCTCAAGTATCCTTAATTTTTGACCCACAATAGAAAGTGTCTGGTTCCGCCCCCTCCTTCTTTCACTTGAAAAACCCAACCGACTTGTTGTAGTGGCAAACATGTTCGTTGTAGTTCATGTATTAGAAATTTTTGGTTAAATCTTTTTTTTTTCGAAAATTTCTTTTTCGAGCTTATTCGTCGAGTTATATTTTTTTGTTTATTCATCTTTAGTTTTTAGAAAACTCATGCACATGTCGTGCCGATATTTGATATAATAGAAACTTGGGGCGCTATGCAAGACACACTCAAGTGCCAATGATTGAAGCCTACCGTCCTTGAAGTATCTGAGCTCTATTCGAGCGTTCTTAATTTTTGATCCCTCAGTAGAAAATGTTTGGATCCGCCACTGTGGCCAGGAGAAAGGCAGCCACACCAAGTTGGAATGCTTCCACTAGAAAATCACCGCCCCTGATGTAAAATCCATGCAGATCAACCACGATGCCCGCCACCCAAAAATCCCCTTTGATGAGTCCCAACTCTCAAATGTTCACTCAGTTCATGTTGACGACTCTTCCAAGCCCAAGCCTGGCATCCGTGGTAGCCTCAAGAAGTGAATTTGCATTCGCGGATGAGTTTGTTGATGTCATTCTTATTTCACAGGAGAAAAAGTTACGATGTTATTGGCACTGGCGATTGGTGTACCATCGTTACTACTAAAGTCTTCGATATGGTCAATAATTTAGTGGTCGCCGGTTGTTGCTGTAGTGTTTGTTCACTGCTTTTGTGGTGCTGTCCTGTCCTGTGCTTTCTTTTTTCTTTTTTTTTTTTAAATTATGAATGCAAGTCCATCTATAACCATGTGGATGTCGTAATTTCCCTTCTTGGTTTTTGGGTATTCGACTATTGTTTTGTTGCTCAATTTCAAACCGAAAAGCCTAGTAATATGTACAGTGGCATGTAATTAGGGTCTGGAGATTGCGATTAGATATTATCATAGCTCTTTTACAAATTTCAAATTGGATGCCCAACTTACTAAATCTAACTTTGCACATTATATCCAATAATAAAGTTTCTAACAATATGGGCAATATTAAAAGGTCCAGCTTTAATAGTTCTTGACCGCGTTCCTGTGATAAAGTATTTATGAGTGGAGGTTCACTCACTCGCCCAAAGAAAGGGGTAATCCCTCGATATGTTAGTTCGGAATAAATTGGAAATGCTGCTGAGGGAATTACTGTTTCAAATCGAACTCTGTTGTGATCGCAGCGATGATCAGTTATTGTCTATACTGTGTTTGCATGTACTATTGTTGTAATCAACTATGCTATTTTCTTGCTATTGTGTAGCATTATCGTTTAAAGGAAAAGTTATTTATTTATAATGTTCTGAGCTTATTTGTTGCTTGTTGAGAGCAGGTAATTGTGTTCTATTTAGCCTTAGAAGTGGGAGCTTTTGTTGTGGAGGCTTTCATTGTTGTTTATCATGAGAAGATTGTTCTTGATTCTAACTGTGATCAAAATTCCTTTCCCCATTATGATATTGGGGTCCAAATGTCTAAAAGTAGGGCTAATTTCATTGTATTCGTATGAATTTATGTTTCTTGGTTTGAATTCATATTCCTTTGTTTTGTTATATTGGAATTTAGATTAAATTTTAACTTAGTTATGGTCAAAATGTCTAAAAAGGTGTTTGTTTGGTCTTTATTATGAAACTCCCTTTCTAGAAGTGGCATGGTAATATACTTCGTTTAGAGCAGCACTATGGGTACAAAAAAAATCAACAGCAAATACACTTTGAAGGTTTTCATTGGAAGAACAAAAAATAAAGTTAATAGGGTGCTGCCACATCAGCACCATGTTCAAATTCTATCAAAAAAGCTTGTACCTGCAGGTATATTGCTTCGTTTATGCACGTGTCTTTGTGCTGTCTCATTTTAAAAATTTTGTTGTCCTAGCGTGTTCATTTTTATCTATTTGGAGGAGTTCCTTTAGCTGGGGGTCTTATTGCTTTGTTATACAATAAACTAAGGCCCTGTTTGATAGGGCAAATTTTCTTGGGAAAAAGGAAAGTGTTTTCCATTTCTAGGCAATTGTACTTGTTTGATGGCAAAAAGTAGCTTGGAATTACTTTTCTTGGACTTGAGTTCACGCGCCTTCTTTCCTTCAAATTGAGGAAAATGATTTCCCACCATTTTGGTGGGAAAATCATTTTCTAGGTTCTGATGTTTTTTTTTTTTTTTTTTTTCTTTTTAGTAATGGAAACAAATTTCATAACCAAG